CATTTACGCAGTGCTTAACCCTGGGGTCAAAGATGCTAAGAATTGTACATGGATTATGTCATTAGTCCTCCCAAATAACTTTCTGAGGTAGGCAGCCTAAACTGTCAGAGAATTATTTTAACTAATTCTTGATGACAGATGAGCCCTTCATGGTAGATGAGTCGGATTCTCCCCACCTGTCTTTTAAAATGCATCTGAGGCCGGGCGCGGTGGCTCAAGCCTGTAATCCCAGCACTTTGGGAGGCCGAGGCGGGTGGATCACGAGGTCAACAGATCGAGATCATCCTGGTCAACATGGTGAAACCCCGTCTCTACTAAAAATTACAAAAAATTAGCTGGGCACGGTGGCGCGTGCCTGTAATCCCAGCTACTCAGAAGGCTGAGGCAGGAGAATTGCCTGAACCCAGGAGGCGGAGGTTGCGGTGAGCCGAGATCGCGCCATTGCACTCCAGCCTGGGTAACAAGAGCGAAACTCCGTCTCAAAAAAAAAAAAAAAAAAAATGCATCTGAATTCACTGAAACATAGAGATGAAAGACAGCTTCATGCCAAGGTGCGGTGGCTCACACCTGTAATCCCAGCACCCTGGGAGGCCAAGGTGGCTGAATCACCTGAGGTCAGGCATTTGAGACTGGCCTGACCTACATGGTGAAATCCAGTCTCTACTAAAAATATAAAATTAACCAGGTGTGGTGGTACACACCTATAGTCCCAGCTACTCAGGAGGCTGAGACAGGAGAATCGCTTAAACAGGGGAGGCAGAGGTTGCAGTGAGCTGAGACTGCATCACTGCACTCTAGCCTGGGTGAGACAGAGCATGACTCCATCTCCAAAAATGAAAACAACTTTTAAAAAAAGAAAGAAATGTTCATGATCAATTGACCTCATATATATGTATATATGCTAAGTATGATTTGTAAAGGAGTAAAAATAGTAATTTATGTTCATGAATTTCCAGTGTATAAAACGGAGGCTCAAACATTAAAAAGGTTTACTAAGATCATGGTTGTCAGAGACACCTCTCTCCCAGTCTGCTGGTACTTTCACCACACATCATGACCTTACATGGCCGAGAAAGAAGTTATGTGCTGTTACTTTGATTTCTAACAACATTATCCACAAACAAGATTCACTGTAGACATAGAAGCTTTGTAATTCATATTAGTGGGTTACGTTTACATTGACTAAATGTTAACCTGCAAACTGCTCATTAAGCTGCCAAAAAAAAAAAAATCTCAAATTCACCATAATGCCTTGTAATTCAAAAGATCTATGCAATACATTTCCAAATTCTCAGAACAATATTTGATGTAAATGGGACAAAAGAGATACACAGCGCAAATTAACATGAATTAATTCAGTCTTTATTCTCTATACTGAATCTGCTGCGTTTTTAAAAAACAACCAACTCATTCATACTTAATGTTTGACATCTGATAAGGAAAGAAGATGATGAATGGAAGTTGAGTTTAGGGAAGGATGAAAACACAGGAATACTATAAGAGGGAAAAGAAGAAAACAGAGAGGGGGAGAGAAGAGTATGTGAGGAGTGGCTGATCAGTTAGAGAAAATGTAGAGGAATCAAAGCATGGTCAAGCCATCTGGAAGAGTTTTTTTCTAACCTCAAGACTGTTGAAGCCTGCTACTGATTACTGCATCAGATGCCCCTAGGTGACATTCTTGCTTCTGATGACCAACGCTTGCGTCTTTCCAGCTCATTACAGCAAAACCAAGATGCAAATACTTTGGAGGCTAGGACAATAGCTTTCCATTCATTTCTATCTCACCAAACTGCTCATGAGCATTTTCCACCTCTAGTCATACAATTAACCTGTGACTGACAACAGAAAATCACAAAGATCATGATTTATCAAAAGCACTGCAGTTCGATCTGCAAATGTTTCACTGTCATACAGCTATCTGATTAGCTCTTGATTTTTTTCATGGCTGAGGTAGTATTTCATTGGTATTAAATGCACAGACAAAACAGTTAAATTATGAGTGCCCTCAATGTTAGAATAAGGAATAAATATAAATTATTTTGAAATCACCTTTTCTTATAAAAGCTAACTAAGAAATTAGACTCCAGACAACAGAGGTACACATTAACAAGAAGAGCTATTGGGGGAAAATATAAGGACCAAAGTCAAATTTATCAATAGAAACACAATTTTTACGTCTGATTTTTCTTCTTTCCATATTGTCATAAATTATAAATTTGAAGCCTGATGACATACTAATTGAAAAATGTTATTTATCTGCTAAAACTGTACATGACAACTTTACTGACTATAGTTTCAATTTGGGCAAACATAACCTCCCAAATGTCCCATTCTGGCAAACTCAGGTGAGTAAGCAGAAATAAATATAAGGATGAGTGGATTTCTATCCTTATTTTAACTGAAAATCCTGCCTATTGCTTTATTTTTAAACTGCTACTAACATGTTTAAATGATAATTGCATCTCCTCAATGAGCACAGTTCCTTATTACTGGAATTGGCAGGGGGCCTTGACATTTGAGTCATCGTTTCATTATGTCTATTTCTTACTCTGGTATACAAATTAAATAGAAATACAAGCCAAATGAAATATAAGGGGGAAAAATCTGAAGCAGTAATTTTAAAATCAATTATTTTTTCTCAAATCTATAAAATATATAAAGTGACAACACTGATAATCATATATTCTAGTTCAAACATATTTCCAAAAATACCATCTTCAATTCTAAAGGCCAAAACTGCTTCAAATTCTCCTAGCCAAATACTGCACTTCTGTGAAACAGAACTGATAGCTTCAATAGTCCCTGAATTAAAGAGAGAGGAAAATGTATTTTAAAACAACTACAAATGAGAACCAAAATGCACATTTAAGTTTCTTCCATTCTAAAGGACTTCAAAATGGGTAATTATTGAACATATATATATGTGTATAAATATATATATCATATACATATGTGACAAATTTTATTCAAAGCATCATCATACGATCAGATAGCAACAATTCATTCAGACTGAAATATCCAGATGTGCCAAACTGGAACCCAGGTCTATCCTTAGATGTTTTCAAGTCAGTGAACTTACATGATAAAAAACACTGAGTTCCTAAATCACCTAATTTAGTCATAGTGAATAAATGAGCATCATTCTATCTTTCCCAAATAATTTTTTTTGTTTGTTTTTGAGACAGAGTCTCGCTCTTGTCACCCAGGCTGGAGTTCAGTGGCACAACCTGGGCTCACTGCCGCCTCCCCCTCCCAGTTTCAAGCAATGCTCCTGCGTCAGCCTCCTGAATAGCTGGGATCACAGGCACTCATCACCATGCCTGGCTCATTTTTCTGAGTTTTCAGGAGAGACCGGGTTTCATCATGTTGGCCAGGCAGGTCTCAAACTCCTGACCTCAGGTGATCCACCCGCCTCAGCTTCCCAAAGTTCTGGGATTACAAGTGTGAGCAACTTTGCCTGGCCATTTCTCTCTAATATTGATTTTAAAACTTTCCATTGAACTTCAGAATCATAAAAATCATCAATCATGAAACCAGTGCTGTATAAAATCCTCAAAAACGTGTTAAGCACTGGTTTCAGGGGGCTATTTCCTCACTTCTTTATTATTACTCCCGAGTATGTATAAATTATTTTCACTGAGTCTTTAATTACTTTAATTACTACTCTTCTTTCCTTTAGCCCAGAGCAACCTGTCATTTCTAATAGCTACCAGCTTCCCCCCAATGCTTGGAAACAGTCTGAATAGACAAAAATAACTTGATTTACCCTGGTACAAAGTGTTGGAAATATACTCTACCAGAAACGGAATGACTGTACATTCAAATTTTTCTCCTGGAAATTAGTGGGGTTTTTTTAATCACTGAAAGTGTATTACTAAACATAAAAAGTCATGGTTTACTTTTCTTTACATTTTATTATTTATTTTAATGTTGACTTCTTAAAATATTTTACCTGAGTGACAAAATGTTGATTTAAATCCAAACATTTTAAGACTTATTTCTGGTATCTTTCTATGAATTATTTATAATTTATAACCCACATTTCCCAAAAGAGATTCAAAGAAATCCACAAACAATTTTCCGGTCTTCACTGTATTCTCTCAACTAGGGATCATGTTCTTTTTTTTTTTTTTTTGAGACAGAGTTTCGCTGTTGTTACCCAGGCTGGAGTGCAATGGCGCGATCTCGGCTCACCGCAACCTCCGCCTCCTGGGTTCAGGCAATTCTCCTGCCTCAGCCTCCTGACTAGCTGGGACTACAGGCATGTGCCACCATGCCCAGCTAATATTTTGTATTTTTAGTAGAGACGGGGTTTCACCATGTTGACCAGGATGGTCTCAATCTCTTGACCTCGTGATCCACCCACCTTGGCCTCCCAAAGTGCTGGGATTATAGGCGTGAGCCACCGCGCCTGGCCGGGATCATGTTCTAAAGTGATGAATTTGTATTTTAATACTAAAATTTAAATAGAAAAGAAGTCTTGAGATAGTCAATTCTCAACTTTTAGGGAACACATTATTGTGCATATTAAGACAAAAATAGGATGTAAACCAGATGTTCCTAGATTACGAAATTTAGAAAAGAACATATTCAAAGTGAAGATAGCTTTTAGCATATATATTTAAAGATACTGCAGTCACACCCCACAATGTTGAAATGCTGTATTTCTCATGGTTTGACTCTAGTCAGTGGAAATATTCATGAGTTTATATTATTAGGTTTTTAGTGAGTTCTATCATTTTTGTAATTGCTATAGCTAGTATTAATAAACGTCTTCTTTTTATATGCTGAAATAAATTAATGGAGGCGGCAGACACTATGCAAAATGGCTGGGAATTGGGCCAAATCTTTTTACATACATCCAGGGACCAGTAATCTTCTAAATGACACTTTATGCTCTCTTGCCCAAATAATTACAAGTACAGCCAGCATGTAATTTACTGAAATAATTATCCACTCTTCTAGTTCCCATCACCCATCTCAAGTCCACAGCCACTTACCTTGTCTTTATTTTCAAAGCCAGAAGCCTCAGGCTTGGTTCTAATCACAAACGGGGTAGACAGTCGCAGCAGGACCCTTTCGAAGGTGGCACTGACCTTTGGAGACACGATCTCAAAGCAGTCCTCAAACTTGAGCACTTTGTGAGTGTCACACCGAAGCTGCTTCCTGAGACCTCCCCCCAGCTGCAGGACTGACATGCTGGGGTCAAACATCAGGTGGAAAGGGAAGGCTCTGCAGAAGGTGTTGATGCTAATTCTGAGGTCCGCAGGAACTTGGGAAGGTCCCTGGGGAAGGTTCTTTGTGATCTTAGTATTTTCACATTCTTTGATAAGGAAAGTAAGACAGCTACAATTGCCTGGGTTTGAACCATCAGAGCACAGCTTCTCATTCGCAACCTGTTCCACTTCCACGTCCAGCCGATAGATCTTCTTTCCTGCAGCCTTAATCATCCCCAGCATTGCAAACCCCACAATATGGTGAGGGTGGAAGTAGTGGAGCATGAGAGTACCGTCAGGGAGCTCTTTGCATAGGAAGGATGGTGACTCCAGCGTGGCCTGTTTTCCGAAAGAAGTTCTAATGTGTTCCAACAAAGCATCGAAGCCGTTGAAGAAGTCCTGCAAAGTGCCACCCACAGCTCGAAGGACTCTCTCATTCTCATCGAAGCATGTATTAAAGAACTCTTCGCCAAACCTTTCTTGAATTTCCTCAAACTTCAAACCTAGAGGTAAACGGGAAGCAAATGTTAGTGAAGTTTAATATAAATAATTGAATTTATAGGTTTTTAAATGTTTATCAAAAGAGGTAACTACTGAGTGAAGTGACAAAGGTTATGTTTCTTGGACCCACAAATTTCCACATAGGTTAATGCACTCATCTCAAATCAGAAAAATTAAATTTCAGTTCATCTTCAGGATGCTTCTAAAATGTTAATGAACAACCTTGTTGTTTGTTTTTAAATAGACTACATATTTTTAGACCAGTTTCAGATTCACAGCAAAATTGAGCAGAAGGCACAGTTATTTCCCAAATCTCTCTGCCCCCACACACGCACAGCCTGCCCCATTATCACATCCCCCACCAGAGTGGTACATTTATTACAATCTGTGAACCTACATGATGCTTTATCATCATCCAAAGTCCATGGTTTACATTAGGGTTCACTCTTAACACTGTATATGCTGTGGGCTTAAACAAATGTATACACTATTATCATAGCACACAGAGCATTTTCACTGCCTTAAAAATCCTCAGTTTATCCCTTCCATCCCACTAACTCCCAGAGCATCAACTTTTAAAATGCTGCTAATCTAGCTGTTCACATTTCAATAGCCTTGCAGTAGTTATCACACATAATGTATTTCTCTTTCTTAATTTGACTTCCCCATTCTTCATAGAATATCCAAGTTGCCTACATATCATATCCACATACCATCCATATTATCATCTTACTTCTTATCAAAATGCATGTATTAAGTGGAAAATATAAACCAGAGAGTAAATCTATGGCACATGAGCGAAGAGAAGCATCAAGCTGTCTGGTGGAAATAAAAGCCTTATATTAGCAATCTCCGGGAAAGTCATGCAGGTCAGCTAGACCTCAGGGAAAAGGAGACAAAACAAGAAAATAATAATGGCAGAACTACAGAATGATTTGCATTCTTTCATCCACAAAAGTGAGGGCCGCCAAGAAGGGAGTAGGAATCTGATGAGAAAGGATTAAAGCTTGCTGTTAAGTTTTCTCCATATATACTCGCTGCCTGATGCCCTGGCAAAAGGGATTCCACCTTATAGTACTAGATATTATAATGAAAAATAATTAAGTGTGCATAATATGTCATTTAGTAATAAGAAGCAGGATCACGTGTGATCACCAGATCCACCCTTGAGGACGATCTGAGGAAAAATGAGGGAATGCATGTGCCACGGAGGACTAGAACGCATACAAAAGATTTTGGTCTGCATATTAAAGACAGCTTCTACCTAAAGTCACTCCATTGCTCCTCCTTTAACATCGGTTGAAATCAATATATGTAGTTTACATATTCATATTTTCTTGCCCTATTACTTCATCTCATTAGTAAGTTCTACAAATCAGGCAGAACTGGAAAGAGACAGGTTACTTTGCTAGTGCCCTGTCAGAGTGCAGAGCAATCTAGACAGTCTACGGCTCAGTTCCTTTTCTACTTTTATCACTCCCTGAGTGTTCCTCTCAACCAGAAGTGAGGCAAAAGAACAGAGTCCATAATATTATTTTTAAACTAGAGTCCAAGCACATCTAATACTCTTTAAGAGGTTACTGGAGTCTAAAAATGGTGGTAGCCAAGAAGTCATTTTGACAAAGAACCTCTTATAATCAATGTGATAGGAAAATGAGGAGAAAACCTAAGTGAGAAAGAGTCTCTTTATTAACAAGCATTTCAAATTAATTTGGGTTTCATGGATTGGATGCTCAAGACTCGCTGAAAAAGTCACCTATTTAGATAAAAATATCACCACTCATCTCACATTGCCAGGTTACAAGACTGCTCTTCAACATACGTTGCATTCACTAACAATAATGTCAGCCAGAATTGATAATAATAGTACTCATCTGTCCAGCTCCCTGGTGTAGAAAACAAGCTAAACAATATTCGCTGCCATCTGGCTCTTGTTGTGACTGCTCTGTTGAAACAGCTTTCATAAATACTTAACCCAATGTACTGTTTCGTCCTTATCCTACTTAACCTTGTTTGCTGTTTTTCCTTTCATTTGACACTGTTCATCATCTCTTCCTCCTATCTTCTGGCTTATCAAACAGTACTCTCCCGGCTTGACTGTTACCTCTCTGAACATTAATTCTCACTTCCTTCGCTATAACTTCTTCCTATGCCAAATCCTTACGTCGCCATCACTGCGTGTAACTAGAAAACTCTAACATACAAATGAAATTTATATACACATTCAGTGACAGTCCTCTCTTGCTATGAAATCTTCCAGTTATGAAATTCGTACTAAAAACTAAATACAGAGTAAATAAAAATTCCTATAAACTGACCATATATGCTGAACTACAATATTTCGTGTGCCACTCAGAATCTTCCATGGATCACTTCTAAACTTTGAAGAATTGTATTTTCAAAAGAGTTAGGGCCCGTATGCATTGAAGAGAAAAAGAGAAGTTCTATCTTTCTCATAACATTGAAAATGCCCTCACAGCTATCATGCACACAAATGTAAAGATAATGCAGTAAGCTTATGTTCTCTGTCTAATGCCAGGATCTCATAGAATCATCCAGAAAATAACAAGTTCACCACAGGCAACAAAATAAAAGCTACTCTATGCACAGCAATCTCTCAGCCAGAAAACCTTGCTGCTCTATAAAGGAACTTGGTACTGCAATGACTGGACATTTTCAAATGACGACGCTAAGGAACACCAGAAGCTAAAGTAACATTTGTATCACTAAAAACGTTGAACTTTTTAAATATTATATTAAAATATTATGCATGGCAATTTTATATAAACCCTTAATATTCAGTTAACTAATAAAGATTTTATTCTCACAATGGTTAAACTCCACAAGATCAGAAAAGAAAATAAATTCTTAGATTAAAACCAAGAAACGATTACTTCAACTTTTACAAATATACCAAGACTTTCATTTTAAACCTAATCTCAAAATTCAGAAAGCACAAAGTGATTCACTTCAGACAACTGATGCGATTCTGACTCCCCAGGTTCCGCCTACGGTTGACGCAAACCCCCTACTTACAGTAAATCACTTGAAACATATAGACAATGCTCATCTCCTCACATCACAAGATTCTATGACAGCTTGACGTTTGGGTCTATAAGAAGAGACTTCCTCAAGGGGCAAAATTTATAACAAAACTGCTCTTATTAATGCGTAAGTTGAGTTAGAATTTTAAACTACTGTTAATTCACCTCTTTATTTTTTTTTATTTTTATTTTTTTGAGATGGAGTTTCGCTCTTGTTACCCAGGCTGGAGTGCAATGGCGCAATCTCGGCTCACTGCAACCTCCGCCTCCTGGGTTCAGGCAATTCTCCTGCCTCAGCCTCCTGAGTAGCTGGGATTACAGGCACGCGCCACCGTGCCCAGCTAATTTTTTGTATTTTTAGTAGAGACGGGGTTTCACCATGTTGACCTTGATCTCTCGACCTCATGATCCACCCGCCTCGGCCTCCCAAAGTGCTGGGATTACAGGCTTGAGCCACCGTGCCCGGCCAATTCACCTCTTTAAAAAAGCGAATAGCATAAATGCTGTCATCCCTTAGCTGTCAATAAAATAGAACCTGTTCCTTCGTGACCCGGTCCTGTTGTCTCTCATCTGCTATCCCACCCCACTTCAGATAGCATTTCTTGAGGACAAGGACATTGCCCCATTTATGTCTGCATATCTATCACTGGCAAAATGCCTGACACCTGGAGAATAAGCTTTGTTTTTTTGAGATGAAGTCTGGCTGTGTCACCGGGCTGGAGTGCAGTGACGTGATCTCAGCTCACTGCAACCTCCATCTTCCAGGTTCAAGCAATTCTACTGCCTCAGCCTTCCAAGTAGCTGGAACTACAGGTACATGCCACTATGCCCAGCTAAATTTTGTATTTTTAGTAGAGATAGTGTTTCACCATGTTGGCCAGGATGGTCTCAATTTCTTGACTTCGTAATCTGCCCACCTTGGCCTCCCAAAGTGCTGAGATTACAGGCGTGAGCCACCGCACCTGGCCAGGAATAAGCATTCTTTCATAGAAAGCATGAATTTAAGTGTTTGTTCGGTGAATATTACTAACCTTTTAAGGTTGCACTTGTGCGACATCTAAGGATGTGAAGACAAAAAGACACATTATTTTCTTTCACAGGCCCCTACAGAACAGTAAATTACATTGTGGATGGAGGTGCAGGAAAAAGAGCATCTGCCTCTCCTCAGGGAGACAATGTTTGAAGGGAAACTTGAATAAAAGTGCAGGGTAGGCCGGACACAGTGGCTCATGCCTATAAACCTAGCACTTTGTGAGCCCAGAAGTTCAAGACCAGCCCGGGCAACATAGTGAAGCCCCGTTATCTACAAAGAAACACAAAAATTAGCAGGCCACGATGGTACGTGTCTGCAGTCCCTAGACCCAGGATGTTGAGGTTGCTGTAAACCATCATCACGCAACTGTACTCCAGCCTGGGTGGCGAAGTCAGACCCTGCCTCAAGAAAAAAATGAAATGAAAGCAGGTGTTTCCAGCCTGGAAAACATTGCAAAACCCTGTCTCTACTAGAAATACAAAAAAGTAGCCAGGCATAGTGGTGCAAGCCTGCAGTCCCAGCTACTCTGGAGGCTGAAGTGGGAGAATCACCTGAGCCCAAGGAAGTTCAGGCTGCAGTGAGCTGTGACTGCACCACTGTACTCCAGCCTGAAGGACAGTGAGACCTTGTACTGAAACTAACTGGTCCCAGGCTTAACATCTGAATGACGAATGATCCGTACCCAAAACCCCCACGACACAATGTTACCTATATAACAAACCTACGCATGTACTGCTGAATTTAAAAGTAAAAAAAAAATCTGTGAACGTACGCTTTAGGAATATACGTCAGATACAAATTTTAATAACAAGAAATGTGGTAATGAGGATGAAGCCAACCCCTGTCTGAATACTCTGAAACAAATTTTTTTTACCTAGTAACTACAAGTGCAGTATCATAAAAGTATACTACAAAACTATCAATA